GGGGGGGGGGGAAACCCTCTTAAAAATAGTATGAAAAAATTCAACACCACATTTGATTAAACTACCTACACAGCCACCCAGACTCTTAAATTCTTACTAGTGCCAAACAAAAAAACAAAGCAAACAAAAACCATGAGGTCCATGGGGGGAGGCGGGGGAGAAGGAAGGAGAAGAAGGGTGAAACAAGAACTGTGTATCCTAATTATGTGAACTGCAAGTCCAGGTACGACTTTCATCTTAAAAGTCTTCAAATTTCCTATCATACAAAACTCATCTTAAGATGACACGTTTACATCAGTGTAAGAGTGTGGGGGACACAAACCCCTAAACCAGTGGCTTTCAACCTTTTTGTACTCAACATCAAATGCTAACTTTTAGTTTTCACTCATTTCTTTACTACAGAAAAAAACATTCTGTTGCAAAGGCCTCAGAAAGACCATAACAGGGCAGAAAGTGTTAACACCGAATTTTCATTTGCAATCTCCGAGTTTATCTTGCAAATCATGTTTGCACACCTAACAGTGCTAACCTGATATATAGCACTCTGTGCAACCCATGGGGGGGGGACAACAACAACAACAAAAAAGCAAAGCACCCCAGGGTGCCAGGACACCCTTGTTGTTGTTTCCCTAAACTGTGATAATTGCCCAATCCAGCAGATAATTATGCTTACAGGAAACAGAATAAAACCCCATGGTATAAATTACACTTCATTGCTGTAGTCCAGGGGCTGGCAGCCCCTGGCACACATGCCAGTTTGGACTCCATGGTGGAGGGCAGGCCTGGGCTGGCCATGTCAGGCAGCTGGGAGGCTGCAGGCACCTGCACCAGTTTGCAGAGACCCAACCTGGCTCATGGCCAGCAGCAAATGCAGACAAGCCTTAGGGTGGGGGAAGGTGCTGGGGCCACGCTGCCACAACAAGGTTTGGGTCCTCCACAGCTTCCCCACCATCTTGAGTCCAGTCTCATTTGAGTCCAGTCTTTTCTCCCGCCCAGGTGTGGGGTCAGACTTGAAGATCTACAAGGTCCCTTCCGACCCTACTTCTATGATCCTATGATCTTACCAGTTGATGCTGCGGGCATTTTTGGCACTCTACACCAGGGGTCAGCAACGTTTTCGGACAGTCTGTCCACAGCCAATCCTGAGGAAGCCATTTGCTCATAAATGAATGTGGAGCACAATAGCAATAGCCTGCATATTCCAGGATAGCTGCATGCCTGTCCATGACGCACGTGCACAAGGCAAGGATTTCTTAGGGCGACAGCTTTTATTGGACCAGCTACGTAGCTGAGCAAAAGCCTGTATGATTTAGATGCATCATTAGCGTAGTACATACATACAAGTTTTTGGATGCAAGACATTCGCTTTCAGGAATGCCCAAGGAAGTATGTCTTGGCATTCAAAAGTCTAACTTTATCCCAAGTACATAGTCCAATAAACTATATCACCCTATGAAATCCTTGCCTCTCGCATAGTTTCTGGATCACCACAGCTACATCACACTACCACTGCCATTACATACCTTGCACTTGAAAAGAAAATTAATTAGATGAGCATGACCTGAAATCCATTTGCTTTCAGAAAAGTATCAACTACCTTCAGCCCTAGGCTTTAAGGTAGAAGACTGTGTATGAAATACATAAAGACAACTACTAAAGATCAATGTTGTGATAAAAGGATAAATATGCGTATTACCTCAAACTAAGTCAACAACATCAGCATTATCCCCCATCCCTGGTCACAGCAATGATGTGATCGTGCATGCAAAGTAATTTTTTTCCTTTTAATCCTATACCATTAACAGCATCTTAAAAAGAAGAAAATTCCGTCAGTTATTCTGAGACTTTAATGAGTCCGCTTTCTGGGTTCATTAAGAGTCAACTTGTTCTTGCGTCAGTAAAAAGTAAAACATACGAACATTTGGTTTACGCCACTTACGAAGTATTCCACGCGCTTCCATGATGCCCTGTCTCGTTAGCCGCCTCTAACTAGTCCCAATATTTTCACTCCATCCTCAGATAAGAGTCGCATCATGCTTCTAATCATATTCATCACCTGTCTTTGAACCTCTCTCAAACTACTCCGCTCTTCAAACTAATTGGATTTTCAGTAACTGGAACCTAATGACCTTTCTTGTTAGGGCAACCTGAAGATGCCGAGTGCTGAATTTGCATTTCTTC